CGACTACCTTAGTTGGAATCTAAGTCAATCTAAATATCTTCCTTCCAAATTGAGCCAATCTAAATATCTTCTCTCTTAATAGGGAATTATCCTCTCTAGATTGACCGCACAACAATAGTCCCCCAATTTTTAGAGTGTGTAATCGCACTTCAAAAACTCATGTCTTCGATCTAGATGGTTGTTGCACTATAGACTACAGTCTTAAACTGAAGAACTTGAATTATGTTTGCTGCGATCTAAAAGATCTGAGAGATCTTGACACATGATCTCAAGCGAATGAGCAAGCTTATGAGATTAATCATAGAGCATAAAGAGCTTGATTTGATAGCATAGGGAGCTCGATCAGAGAGCATAAGGAGCTCGAATGAAGAGTGCGAGAAGTTCGATTAGAAAGCGCAGAGAGCTTGATCTGAGAGTATAGCTCGATCAAAAAACATGGAGAGCTTGATTTGAGAGCATAACTCAATCAGAAAACATGGAGAACTTGATCTAAGAGTATAGCTCAATCAGAAAGCATGGAGAACTTGATTTGAGAGTACAACTCGATCAAAAAGCATGTAGCGTTTGATCTAAGAGCATTGCTCGGTCAGAAAGCATGGAGGGCTGGATCTGAGAACATAGCTCAATCAGAAAGCATGGAGAACTTAATCTGAGAGCATTGCTTGATCAGAAAGCTTGAAGCACTTGATCTGAGAGCATTGCTCAATTAGAAAGCTTGGAGAGCTTGATCTGAGAGTATAGCTCGATCAGAAAGCATGGAGAGCTTTATCTGAGAGCATTGCTTGATGAGAAAGCATGGCGAGCTTGATCTGAGAGCATTACTCGATCAGAAGGCTTAGAGAGCTTGATATAAGAACATTGCTCAATTAGAAAGCATGGCGAGCTTGATCAGAGAGTATTGCCCGATCAGAAAGTATGGAGAGCTTGATTTAAGAGCATTACTCGATCAGAAAGCTTGGAAAGCTTGATTTGAAAGCATAACTAGATCAAAAAGCATGGAAAGCTTAATCTCAGAGCATTCCTCGATCAGAAAACATGGAAAACTTGATCTGAGAGCATTGTTCGATGAGAAAGCTTGGAGAGCTTAATTTGAGAGCATGACTCAATCAAAAAAATGGATAGTTTGATCTAAGAGCATAGCTCGATCAGAAAAGCATGAAGAGTTTGATCTGAGAGCATTACTCGATCAGAAAGCATGGAGAGCTTGATTTGAGGGCATTGCTCGATCAGAAAGCTTGATCTAAGAGTATTGCTCCATCAGAAAGCTTAGAGAGCTTGATTTGAGAGCATAGCTCGATTAGAAAGCATGAAGAGCCTAATCTGAGAGTATAGCTCGATCAGAAGGCATGACGAGTTTGATATGAGAGCATTACTCAATCAGAAGGCTTGAAGAGCTTTATTTGAGAGTATTGCTCGATTAGAAAGCATAGCGAGCTTGATCTAAGAGCATAGCTCAATCAGAAAGCATGGAGAGCTTGATTTGAGAGCATTGCTCGATCAGAGAGCTTGGAGAGCTTGATTTGAGAGCATAGCTCGATTGGAAAGCATGAAGAGTTTGATCTAAAAGCATAGCTCCATCAAAATGCACGACGAGCTTGATCTGAGAGCATTACTCGATCAGAAGGCTTGGAAAGCTTGATCTGAGAGTATGGCTTGATCAGAAAGCATGGAGAGTTTGATCTGAGAGTATGGCTTTTTCAAAAAGCATGGAGAGCTTGATCTGAGAGCATTGCTTGATCAGAAAGCATGGAAAACTTGATCTGAGAGCATTACTCGATCAGAAAGCATAGAGACCTTGATCTGAGAGCATTACTCGATCAGAAAAAATGGAGAGCTTGATCTGAGAGCATTGCTCGATTGGAAAGCATGAAGAGCTTGATCTAAAAGCATTGCTCAATCTAAAAGCATTGCTCGATCGAAAAACATGGAGAGCTTGATCTGAGAGCATAACTCGATCAGAAAGCATAAAGAGCTTGATCGGAGAGCTTGATTTGAGAGCATTGCTCGATCAGAAAGAATGAAGAGCTTGATCTGAGAGCATTGCTCGATTGGAAAGCATGAGGAGCTTGATCTGAAAGCATTACTCGATCAAAAAGCATGAAGAGTTTAAGCTGAGAGCTTAGCTCGATCAGAAAGGATGAAGAACTTGATTTGAGAGGATTGCTTGATCAGAAAGCTTAGAGAGCTTGATTTGAGAGCATTGCTCAATTAGAAAGCATGAAGAGTTTGATCTGAGAGCATTGCTCGATCATAAAACATGGAGTGCTTGATTTGAGAGCATTGTTCAATCAGAAAGCTTGGAGAGCTTGATATGAGAGCATTGCTAAATCAGAAAGCATGGAGAGCTTGATCGGTGGGCATTGTTCGATTAGAAAGTATGGAGAGCTTGATCTGAGAGCATAGCTCGATCAAAAAGCATGAAGAGCTTGATCTTAGAGTATTGTTCGATCAGAAAATATGACAAGCTTGATCTGAGAGCATTACTCGATCAGAAGGCTTAGAGAGCTTAATCTGAGAGTATTACTCGATCAGAAAGCATGGCGAGCTTGATCTGAGAGCATATCTCAATCAGAGAGCTTGGAGAGGCTGATATGAGAACATTGCTCGAGCAGAAAGCTTGGAGAGCTTGATCTGAGAGCATAGCTTGATCAGAAAGCATTGAAAGCTTGATCTAAGAGCATTGCTCGACCAGAAAGCTTGGAGAACTTAATCTGAGAGTATTGCTCCAATAGAAAGCTTGGAGAGCTTGATTTAAGAACATAGCTTGATCAGAAAGCATGGAGAGCTTGATCTGAGAGCATTGCTCAATCCGAAAACATGGCGAGCTTGATCTGAGAGCATTACTCGATCAGAAGGCTTGGAGAGCTTTATCTGAGAGCATTGCTCGATTAGAAAGCATGGCGAGCTTGATCTGAGAGCATAGCTCGATCAGAAAGCATGAAGAGTTTGATCTTAGAGCATTGCTCGATCATAAAGCATGAAGAGCTTGATCTCAGAGCATTACTAGATCAGAAAACACGGAGAGCTTGATCTCAAAGCATTGCTTGATCAGAAAACACGGAGAGCTTGATCTCAGAGCATGGCTCGATCAGAAAACATGGAGAGCTTGATCTAAGAGTATGACTTGATAAGAAAGCATGGAGATCTTGATCTAAGAGCATTGCTTGATCATAAAGCATGGAAAACTTTATTTGAGAGTATTGCTCAAGCAGAAAGCATGGAGAGCTTGATTTAAGAGTATTACTCGATCAGAAAGCATAGAGAGTTTGATCTGAGAGCATTGCTCGATCAGAAAGAATGGAGAGCTTGATATGAGAGCATTACCCGATCGGAAAGCATGAGAAGCTTGATCTGAGAGCATTCCTCGATCAAAAAACATGAAGAGCTTGATCTGAGAGCATAACTCGATCAGAAAGGATGAAGAGCTTAATCTGAGAGCATCGCTAGATCAGAAAGCTTGGAGAGCTTGATCTGAGAGCATAGCTCGATTCGAAAGCATGAAAAGTTTGATATGAGAACATTGCTTGATCAGAAAGCTTGGAGAGCTTGATCTGAGAGCTTGCTTGATCAGAAAGCATGAAGAGCTTGATCTGAGAGTATTACTCGATCAGAAAACATGAAGAGCTTGATTTGAGAGCACTACTCGATCAGAAAGCTCAGGGAGCTTGATTTGAGTGCATAGCTTGATAGAAAATATGGAAAGCTTTATCTGAGAGCATAGCTCGATCAAAAAGCATGAAGAGTTTGATCTGAGAGCATTGCTTGATCAGAAAACATGTAAAGCTTGATATGAGAGCATGGCTTGATTAAAAAGAATGGAGAGCTTGATGTGAGAGCATTACTCGATTAAAAAGCATGAAGAGCTTGGTGTGAGAGCATGGCTTGATTAGAAAACATTGAGGGCTTGATTTGAGAGCCTGACTCGATCAGGAAGCATGGCTCCATCAGAAAGCATGGAGAGCTTAATATGAGAGCATGACTCAATTAAAAAGCATAGAGAGCTTGATCTAAGAGCATGAATCGATCAGAAAGCATGAAGAGTTTGATCTGAGAGTCTGGCTCGATCAGAAAGCATGAAGAGCTTGATCTGAGGGCATTGCTCTATTAGAAAGCATGGAGAGCTTGATCTGAGAGCATGGGTCGACCATAAACATAGGGAGCTTAATCTGAGAGCATGGGTCGACCAAAAAACATGGAGAGCTTGATCTAAGGGCATTGCTCTATCAGAAAGCATAGAGAGCTTGATCTAAGAGCATTTCTTGATAAGAAAGCATGGGGAGCTTGATCTGAGAGTATAGCTTGATTAGAAAGCATGAAGAACTTGATCTGAAAGCATTGCTCGATCAGAAAGCTTAGAGAGTTTGATCTGAGAGCACAACTCGATTAGAATGTATGGACAGCTTGATTTGAGAGCATTGCTTGATCAAAAAGCTCGGAGAGCTTGATCTGAGAGCATTGCTCGATCAAAAAACATGAAGAGTTTGATCTGAGGGTATTGCTCGATCAGAAAGCTTGGAGAGCTTGGGAGCTTTAGAGCTAGAGGCTAGAGAGCTAGCGAGCTCTTTCTAATTTGAGAGATTTTAGCATGTGATCTGAGCGATTTGGCCACGCGATCTAAAGCTGAAGATTAGAGTGATCTAAGCGTGCAATTTGAGTGATCTGGCCGCGCGATCTGAAAACTTTGATTTGGAACAAGCTTTAGTATTTTAACGATAACTTGAGCTGTAGACCTTATATTTTGATGATTCTTAGACCGTCGGAAAGCTAACTCGAAGGGCTACAATTCTTGTGTTTATCACTTAGCCATATTCAGGCTTTATCCTACTCATATTTTTACATTTGATGACATGATTCTAGATTAAGAATCCTAAACCCAAAAATTGATATATTTGGTCGTAATTTATGAAGTTTGGTAGTTAAAAACACTAGGACGTTCAGTGAGAGATATGGGATGAGATCTGTTCGTTGTTTCTAATATGATTTGATTTCATGTTACTAATATGACCGTATTTGCATTGGAATAACTTATGTTTTCCTTTGGATTGTTTAACTCTAGCTTGTTTTGAGCTGAATCCAATGTTTAATTCTCTTAAGACAGTGGTTTATTGATGGTTTTACTTCTGGTTTCTTTATTTATTTATTTGTTTTATGCAGAAAATGTTATCTAATTTGGACAAACTGGTTTCTTGTGATCGGCCGGCTGATTGCATTTTGTGGTGAGCCAACTGTTTGCTTTTTTTTATTTATTCATAATAATGATATGATACTCATCACAAGTGTCATTGTAAAATTGGTGGATTGACTCTATTGAACCTTCTTTTTCTTTTTTTTTTTTTTAGTTTATGGAGGTTTCACGATTCTCCAGTTAAACTTTGACTGCATGATTATAATCTATTCTGTAGTAACTCATTGCAAATAATGGAAACAACCACTGGTGTTAAGGTGTTAGAACCAGTGGCTTTGTGAAAAGCATATGGATCATTCTTAGTTATTCAATTGTGTGCAGTTTATGTTCTGAAGTAAACTGGGATTTGTTAATCTATCTTGGACTGTGGTCATATAATTTTTTTTTTTTTTTTTGGTTCATTTTTGCAATCAAGATTCTGTGTTTAGGATGCAATTGATGATCTTATTTGGTGTTTTGTATAGGGTAGGACTGTTGGCATTTCACCAGGCATTAATCAGTAACCCCCAAGATGCTTTTGAGATCTGGGTTTTTGCTTCTGTTCTGTATAATGGAAAATGGGAGGAAGGTGTTAAATTTGCAAGCGAACATGCAAAAGATCAAGGTAATTTTGCTCTTGAGATCTCTGGGTTTTCTGAGATTGAATCAGATGAAGAACTTGCAGCAAAAGTTACTGAGTTGGCATCTTTAGTTCGAGACTGTGTCAATGGTTTGACTTTTAATGATACACACTCTTACATGGTAAGTGCATTTAAATTTGGTGTAATATATATTGCTGATAACTTCATTGACTTTGCATTGTATAACAATTTTCTGACAAATAGTACTTCGTCCAGCATATTTGTATTCATCTGAATCTAGTATCAGATGATGCCTCGTATCACTTTTGAATTAATAGTCACTCTTGAGCAGAATACCCGATTTTCCAACTAAATACCCCAGTGTGCCTTATTTGCTTTAGTAGCATAGTAAGACAAAATCATCAAGCATGTGTGTGATCATCCTTCTCTTGCATATTTCATGGTAATGCCTTTACATAGACAGGCATGTTATGTTACAAATTGTGTAAGCACGTGTGTATGTTTGCTGTGTGAAAAAACAGTAGACAGAGATTAATGGGGTCATATTTGAAGGCAAAATGACTATTTGGTGTACTATAGTGCAGACCTGACTAAGTCTATTCTTACTTACCTAGCCTCAAACTTGAGTCTAAACTTTTCTTATCTAGTATTCTGCAATATGGACTTGATAAGCATGCTAATAACTGAGACTTAGGGCAACTTAAGTAGTTCTTCTTTTCCCATTTTGGTAATTAGCATGATAGAAAGTTTTAGCACTGCAGCCGTGGTTGTAATTCTGGGACAACCAATTGATTATGTCTCTGTGTACCGTCTAAGTTTTTTTCTTTATTTACGTTTACTTTGGAATCAATACCCATAAATTACTCGTGCAGTTTAGATATTTGTTTAAGAACAAAAACATGTGGTGATCCAGGCGTTTGTTTCAAAGAAAATTGGGGAAGGTGTTGGTCAAATTTTTGATGTACTGGCGAATTCTTTTGAATCTTACGACAAAGGAAGAAAGAGTTTCATGATTGACTATCACTTACTTGGAAAGGGATATATACCTGAGACGAGATTTGTTCTTGGCAAAATTATTTTGAAAACCATTAGTGTTAGGCTTGTTGGAGGAGAGGGGGAGGTTGATGAGGAGAAGAAAATTAAGTCACTGTTGGACTCAGTTGAGGAAAGTTGCCACCCGAGGCCCTGTGATTTGACAGAGAATGAATTTTTGAGCAAGAAAAATAGAAAGCATAGTCTAACAATTCCTGACTCGGAATCAAATCTAGAGAGAACCAAAAAGCAGAAGTTATCTGGGAAGGAACACAGGCTTTCTCAGCAGAAGCTAAATATGAACAAGCAGGACAAGTTCTCAAAAGAGGACAGCCACCAGAAAGGTAAGGAACTCCAGAATTTGGTTGAGACTTGCCTATTAGCTGAAGAAGAAACAATGATGACACAAGAAAACATATCAGAGAAGAAAGATTGCCATTCATCATTAAAGGAGGTGATCTCTAAGAAGATCAATAGACATAAGAACGTAGTTAAGGAGAAGAACAGCAGTCGGCCTCCACTCTCTAGTCTCTTCAGATAGAAGTAACTGCATTTGTTTTTGCACTATATATGTTAGACTTCTCGACACAGTTTTACCTCATAATTGACAACTAATTGGTAAATGCCCTTCTCCCTTAATCTTGTTTGTATGAGTAATGCCATTCAACCAAATCTTCTCCATTTTTGCTTCCGCTATGCAATCTCTGCATTTTTGCTTCCGCTATGCAATCTCTGCAGGTGTAGTAATTTAAAGGCAGTTGATGGGTAAAGGCTACAAGTTTTGGCCTGACCATGGTGTCTCCATTTCTAGGCTGCAGCTTTTTTTTTTTTTTTTTTTTTTTTTTTTTTTTTTTTTT